ACAAGGTGTGATATTTTGAAATCCAAAAAAGTGCTAGTTTAAATGCGTTACACGTAAATGTATAGTTGGAAATTCATTATTGCTCCTGAAGAGCAATTTAAAGAGCTTAAAGTAGATTTATTGCGCAATAACTCCAAACGGTTGACTTGGTTCTCTTTAGTGAATTACGCTTGAAGAAATGTTCTTACTTGATATCCACCGAAGGTTAATTAATACTATCTTCATAGTTTAACACATTAATCGCTTTAATTTAGTTTGTTACCCGTCTATTTGATTTATTTTGCCATTATTATCCCTAAAGTTTACTGTAAAGGTAGATAGATGTATAACAAACCGTACCTGTAAGTATGACAAAAGATCTAGGAAAGAAACTTTTTAAAGTTTTCAGTAACATTAAAAATCAACTCTTTTTTAGGGCTTCCATTTAAGCTCTATCGTTTTTATTGTATACGAGCTGTTGGACCGTCCTACGTACGGAAATTGAGCGGTCCATTAAAACTTTATATATTTATATCAATATGTCTATTCCTAATTTAAGCTTAGTTTAAGCGGTTCAAAATTTATGTAAAGAAAAAGCTGACAAGATTAATTAAAACGTTGTTACTTTCCCAAACCTTTTAGTTCCTATAATCAACGACAAAATCACAGAGTTATTAAACTAACCTCATAGTTCTATAGAATATTTTTATATTCAACCAGCTGTTAGTTTTAACAAATTATATTAGACTAAAACAAACTAAAGATTTTTAAGACTGCTCAAAAAATAAATTAGATCATCTATGTAGTATTTTACTATGTATTTTAATAATAATCTGTCATCCTCTTGCCGAATAAATGAACGTATCAATGATTATAGCATTACACATAGAATAAATAAGTCAACCCTACGTATGTAATTTTATTTTTATCCAAATACTGAATTTGTGTTGCGACCACTGAATGTTTACAGCTGTTACGTTAAGCAAATGGTATTTATAGCAAAAGCTAGTTTAGAATGTTTACGTCGGCTGCTAGACTTTTTAAAAATTAAAACTTCAATTCTAAAAAACTGGGACCCTAAACTAAAATTATGGCTTCGACATTCCCTACTTCTCAAAATTATCTTTCTTTCAACACAAAAATCAAGAAAATCCGTCAAGTGGTTGATTCTTAATCGTGAAATAAAATAAAACCCCTGTCACGTTTTAATATTATAGATTTTCCCAAATTACTGTTATTGTTATCGAAACAAATTATAACTCAACGGTTTCTGAGATGTCAGCTGTCGAATAGAAATATTTTTTTGCTTTTTTATAATTATTTTTATTGGATAAATATATTTTATTGACTTTGAATATGAAAAAACTCATTTTCGCACAACTAAGCATTAAAAAAATCGTCATTATCCAATCTTTCATAACATATTATTGTGTTTGTCCTAAACATTACTTTTTCACCACACTATAATGTTACTAGCTGTTTTACAAACGGTAATTGGAGGCTGAAAGCTACGTATTGCTATCCATGCCAGCTGTCATAGTCATTTGGGGACCGAGCAGGTTTTTACATCCCTAGAGCCAAAAATCAGCTGTACGCTTTGTTCTGTAATATTCAGTGTAATTGTGATTTCTTATAATAATGCTTTCTTTCATCTAAATATAAATACAGATGGCATTGTTTTTTTCACTTGTTTTAATGTTTAAAAGAACATGTGATTTAACAATTAACTATTAGTAATTTTGCTAGTTGAAAACAAACACATCAAGATGAAGATCCCTCTCTCTTTTGTAATCTCTCTTTAAAGTTCTGTAAAATCATTGAAAGTTTATTTGTTAATATTATACTATTTGTTAATTGTATCTCAGTGTTCTAATTTGTTCTTGAAGATTCAAACTCCGCTTAACTTATAAATACAGTCCACTCCACACGCTACCGAAATTTCTACATGGTCCTTCGGCCGCAGATCTTCTGAAACTCAGCTGTTTTGGTAACTATAAGTCACAATTAGTTCTACTACAACTCCAACTTGCAAACCTTAAAATAGACTCTTCACTCCTTTCTCATCAGTAAGAAGTAAGAAGACTATCAAGACTACTGTAGATCTAAAAGGTCAATATCTAAAGGACTTTGATTCCTCTATTTTATGCATATTGTTTTTGTTGTAATTTATTAATTGACATTTCAATTTGTATCAAACTGTACAATTTGGTAATTTGTAATGCTCATAGCAACCACTAATAGCGCTAATCTAACAATGCCATCTGTTATCTGTGTCTCGTATTGCAGAAAATAATGACAATCTCTAATCTCTCTTTCTCTGAATACTCAGAATAATTGTTTTGTTGTACAACAAAAATGAAATTCATCACCCTGTCTAGGCAATTAAACTCAATTGCGAATCGTTTAGCCAAAATCCAAACTAACATCCAAGCTTTAGATTTATTACCTGATTTGTCCCAAGAACAAATAAATAAGTTGAAACTTTTAGATTCAGAAACACTTAGAAAATACTCAGAATTTGAAACCTCCCTTGAGAAACTATTTAATAGTGACACGCTTCCCGATGATTATGATGAAGATACACTCTTTCAATTACAAGATACTATATCTGACTTATGTGTAGGAATTCAAACTCTCACGAAGAAACACCTTTCTCAAGATCCTACAAGTAGGCCTGTTCTAAACACCGACTCAATACCAAATACTCCATCAAGTAGCCTACCCCATAGGCCTAGTAGCTCTTCCTCAAACCAAGAAAGCCACTCTCTAAAACTCCCCCCTATATCTTCAATGGTTCACCGGAACAATGGTTATCTTATGTTAGCCTGTTTCAAGTATCCGTTCATGATAATGAAAACATATCTAAAGTTGAGCGATTTCAATATCTGCTTTCTACTCTACAGGGAGAACCTTTCAATCTTATAAAGAATTTACCAATCACAGCTGAAAATTATGATGTAGCATGGGATCTTCTTCAAAAACGGTATCAAAACAGTAGGAAAATCATAAGCATACACCTCAACAACATAATAGACTTACCTAACCTAAGTGACTCCTCCCTCAAAAACATTCGCTCGTTCATTTCTCAGTATAACGAAAATGCCCAAGCACTCATTGCACTCAATCATGACATAGCCAAGGATAATATCTTGCTCTCAGCCATGTTACTAAGGAAATTACACGCAGACATTCGCAAAAAGTTTGAAAGCTTACGTCTAAATTCTCAAGACCTTCCAACCGTAGGTGAAGTAATAACATTTTTAGAAAATGAATGTGCTTACTTAGAAGCTGCTAACCTCTCTAACTCTCAGTTCCCTAGAACTACTTCAAGCAATAGCAATGTAGGTTTCACTCAAAATCGTAAGTGGTCCAGCCCTCACTCCTCTCAGAAAGGCCTACATAAGTCTACACCAAACCGCACTACTTTACTAGCTTTCAGAGACTCAAACGCCACATGCACATTTTGTAGTAAAAGTGATCACAACATTTACCAATGCTCAGAGTTTAAAGATTTGTCCGTACAGGAAAGATACAATTTTGTGAGGAAAACCCACCTCTGTTTGAACTGCTTAGGTACCGCTCATTCTGTCAAAGACTGTAAGTCAAATAAAACATGTTTTCACTGTAAACTGAAACATCACTCCCTCTTACATCAAACTAATAATAGGCCTAATGATAAGCTTACCGGTAGTCAAAAGCCTAAAAATAATGCTCCGATGCCCAAGGAAATGAATAAAACATTTGATCACCCTGAACCTCCCTTTGTAGCTGTCTCCTCCAACCCTAATACCACTATATTGCTAGCCACTGCATTGGTACACTTGAAAGCAAATAACGGTAACACAGTTGTAGCCCGAGCCGTTATTGACTCCGCATCTATGGTAAGCTGCGTAACAGAAAATATTGCTAACCTGCTTATGCTTAAACGGACATTTTCCAGTAATTCCAAGATAGATGGCCTATCATCAGTTGAAGTTAAATCTAAAGGTGTGTCAAAAGTTAACATATCGTCTCTTAGCGGAGAAATGATTGCTGATAACAACCCAGTCCTTATTCTAGACAGTACATCTATTAATTGCCAAAGCTCGAGTTGCTCCTCTTAAGAAGATCTCCATCCCTAGACTAGAATTGTGTGGTGCCCATTATATTAAATTATAAATAAATTCTTTTCTCTCAAACCTCCCACACTCAGAAGTTCCAGTTAATGTTAAAAAATACTTCAAACATTTGGTCCTGGCTGATCCAACTTTTCATTTGCCTAGTAAGATAGATGTGCTCATAGGTGCTGATCTATTCGCTAAAGTAATCACTGGTGAACGCATCATCATTAACAAGGATCTTCCTGCTGCCATGAATTCTGTATTTGGATATCTTATCATAGGCTCTGCCCCAACTCTTCCTGCTGTAGTCTCTCACAAAACAGCCCCTCAATGCAAGGGTAATGTTTCTTTGTTGAGTACTCAAGATATTGATTTGCACAATTCTCTGCAGAAATTTTGGACTCTAGAGGAACCTCCCGTCAAACTTCATGTAACATCTGAACAAGAAATTTGTGAAAATCACTTTCTAAACACGGTCTCTAGGGATTCAGATGGACGCTACTTTGTTAGGCTACCCATAAAAGAAAATCATCCCCCTCTTGGTGACTCATCATTTTGCGCTCGTAATAGATTCCTACCACTTGAAAGAAAATTAGAAAGTCAGCCTGAAGTCAAAGCAGAGTATAGTAAAGCCATACATGATTTATTGTCATCTAGTCACATGCAACCTGCTAACCCTCCCCAAACAGCGATGACAAACAATTTTACTTACCTCACCATGCTATTGTCAAAGTAGATTCCTCAACTACCAAGCTTCGTGTAGTATACGATGCAAGCGCACGCAGCTCCTCAGGTGTCAGCCTTAACGATATTCTACATACCGGGCCAAAACTACATAATGATCTTAATGATATTCTGTTTAAGTTTAGACTTTCCCCTATTGTCTTCTCATGTGACATCAAACAAATGTTTCGTCAAATAATGATCCACCCAGATGATAGAAACTATCAAATGTTGTATTGGAGAGATGACAAAGACGATCCCCTTTCTGTTTACCGTTTAACTACGGTTGTGTTTGGATTCAACTGTTCACCCTACTTGGCACTAAGGACACTTCACCAACTTATCATCGATGAAGGCGCAAACTTTCCTCTGGCAGCTGAGGCTTTAAAGAAACAAGTATATGTAGATGATTTAATTTTAGGTGCCAATAGCATAGAACAAGCTTTGGTACTAAGAAATGAGGTGGAACAACTTCTCTTAAAAGGATGTTTCGAACTGAGGAAATGGACTAGCAACTGCCCTCAAATCATGGAAACTCTTCCCGACTCTTACAAAGAAACTCCTCTATATTTCAACTCCTCGGATCAACCTTATTTCAAGGTACTAGGTATAAAATGGTCACCTAACTCAGACACTTTCTCTTATCAGTTGAATATCCCAGACACACCTCCCACTAAACGAGGTATACTTGAAACAGTTAGCAGAATATTTGATCCAAACGGTTGGTTGACTCCAGTCACTCTTTGGGTAAAAGCGTTGATACAAGTTTTATGGGCACTAGGTTTATCATGGGATGCGCCTGTACCTCCGGATCTAACTGAAAAATGGTCTAAGTTCCTCCAACAACTTCCTTTCTTAAGTGAACTTAGCTTACCTCGATATGTTTCCGTAGCTGATGCTGTTCATATCAGTTTACATGGATTTTGTGATGGGTCTGAAACAGGTTACGGAGCTTGTGTCTACTTGCGATGTGTAAGTTCTTCTGGAGAAATCAACGTACATCTATTAATTGCCAAAGCTCGAGTTGCTCCTCTTAAGAAGATCTCCATCCCTAGACTAGAATTGTGTGGTGCCCATCTTTTGTCCAAACTCCTGAACTATTGCAACTCTCTACTCTCTCAAGATTATCTTGTCAACGAATTAAATGCTTGGTGTGATTCATCTGTAGTCTTGTCATGGATAAAAACTGTACCCTACCGCTTAAAAGTTTATGTTACAAATCGAGTCTCAGAAATTCAAGAACTTACTCCTACTTACATATGGAAACATGTCTCAACTCATTGTAATCCAGCTGACATTGCCAGTAGAGGAACCCTTCCCATTTCTATGAAAGACAACAGTTTATGGTGGAACGGTCCCGATTGGTTATCTCTGAATCAGGAATCGTGGCCTATTCTTCGCTTCACCCCTCTCCAAGGTGAACAATTGCCAGAATGTAAGGCCGAACCTTTGCCAATAATGGTTACAACTCAAAAACCAGACTTATTCAATAGGTTTTCATCTTGGTCAACCCTCCAGCGAGTCATCGCTTACATTCTACGCTTCAAAAATAACTTAACATACCAGGTTAAAGAATCAGGATTTTTAAAGCTTGAAGAGCTTGATAAAGCAACAATCACTATCTGTAAAATTATTCAACAAACAGTTTTTTCTGAAGATATATCTAGATTGAAAGCTGGAAAACCTTGTTCCTCCCGTCTTGCGTCTCTCTCCCCCTTCTTAGACGAAAATGGATTGATTCGTGTTGGAGGCCGCCTTAAGCACTCTCAAGTATCCTACGCTGCAAAGCACCCTATTGTCTTGGCCAAAACTAACCATGTCACCAATCTCATCGTTGATCATTACCATTTGAAACACTTGCATGCTGGACCTCAGTTTTTACAAGACGTTATTTCTCAGAAGTTTTGGATCCTATCTTCTCGAAGTGTTATTCGAAGAAGAGTTTACAAGTGGATCCGATGCTTTAAATGCAATCATGAGACCACCACTCAGAAAATGGGAGATCTTCCTCCACAACAAGTCCTACCCTCAAGAGTGTTCAACAACTGCAGGCACTCTCCAGACCTAACTTAAGTCTCACCCCTTCCAATCAATGATGAATAATGAAAGAAGTGTTAGACTGTTAACCATCAGTTTATTGTAAATATGTTCATTTCAAAAATACATTTTTCCTCAAGACTTGATTATTAGATGAACCCCTCTTAGTGGTTCACGGGCGGGGGTATGTTCTGTAATATTCAGTGTAATTGTGATTTCTTATAATAATGCTTTCTTTCATCTAAATATAAATACAGATGGCATTGATTTTTTAACTTGTTTTAATGTTTAAAAGAACATGTGATTTAACAATTAACTATTAGTAATTTTGCTAGTTGAAAACAAACACATCAAGATGAAGATCCCTCTCTCTTTTGTAATCTCTCTTTAAAGTTCTGTAAAATCATTGAAAGTTTATTTGTTAATATTATACTATTTGTTAATTGTATCTCAGTGTTCTAATTTGTTCTTGAAGATTCAAACTCCGCTTAACTTATAAATACAGTCCACTCCACACGCTACCGAAATTCTACACGCTTATTTACTTAAAAAATGCAAATGTGATTTTATGCACAAAATGTATTCATATGCATTGCAAAAGACTTGTTTTATTGCCACTGCTGCTTAGCAACTATTTATAATTATTTTTACTGATTTCTCTAAATATATTTCTTCATATAACCTTAAAGTTGCTGTTGGTTAGTGTGCATATTGTATATATTTTCTCAATGTTGTATAGTGTGGTGAAAATAGCGTTTGTACCACGGGCCGAAAGGGGTTTGCAGCTCTCGATCGTTTTAGTTTGAGTCGTCTCGAAATTAAAAAATGATCTCGAGCCAGCAGAACCTCATTTTCGGCCCTAGATACGAAATATACTATTTCCTATCCCAAACAATCAGATTCTCATTTAGCTGAACAGGAGATATGTTAGTATTCTTGTTACGATAAATATTGTTCAAACAGCTGAGTTTTAGATCAACTGCAAAACTGTGTTATTATATGATAACAAGGGAATTACTACTATGGAATCTAAGGCAACTACGTGATAATAATATTTTATTGTTTAAAACCAGAAAGCGTTGTGTGATTAGAAGCTTTGTGATAAAGAGTGTTGTTCACTGCTTGCCACGAAGGTTCCATTCTGGAACTCGATAGTTGTGTTCCGTCTTCGGCTTTGCCTCTTCGCAGATCACTATGTTGCCCCGAAATGGATCACTTTCGGCACCTTACTCCGTTCACAGCTATCCCCTCCATGTCTTGAACCTACCATTACCAACCACAACACCACCACACTCCAACTATTAAGGTGATATATAGCTCAACAGGAGCAACAGCAGAAAAAGTGGTGGCGGAACTTCCCCTCAAACCGTCTAAATATTGTAAACTAAGTACGTATAGCAGTCAAATGTATCACCGTCAATAAAAAAAATTGCATAGAGGCACATAACGCAGCTTTATTTGAGAAAAAACTGCCCAGTAAAACAGAAATTGGATAACAACGATTTTCAACAATAATTTGTTAATATGCAATCATCATTTTGCAATAAAATGTTTTTTTAATGAGTTGGGTTAATGGTGCATAAAACGAAAACAAATACCGTTACTTCGACTAGATGCATCTTGCTTTATGATCTAAGATACTGCTAAACTAATTACAACACTTAATAAACTAAATGCAACAAAGTTATGGAGTCGCATTAATTACCGGGTTAAATTAACTAAAAGCTCTTAATAAAACAGGTCAATCGTATGATGAGTTTTTGATTGGTTTGCTATTTCTTAAAATTAAAATATATAACATATACCACTGATTGTTTTAAGATTAAATTAAATGTTTCAGCGATGTCACGGCTTGGAATCATTTGTGTAAACATTAACAGTTTCATTCAAACGGCTTGTAGGTCCAACAGGCCCGTGTAAGTTTGGTAAAAGGTTAATGTTTCCTTAGATAACAGAGTTATTTTATTTAACACTTGCAGTATATTTGCAGATCTCATGTGTTCCGTGTGAGTGTTTGAACTAAGGAGAACTTGTCTGCCTTTTTCTTGTTAGTATCTATTAGGCCTACAGTAATACCTTTATCTCATGGTTTATGTAATTTCACCTTCCACTCAATACAGAGTATATTCGTATCATCCACTTTATAAAAAGGTGGAATGTAAATTGATAAGTATAATCATTTATATATATGTAGCATTTTAAGGATTAAATATTTTGTTTGTGTAACTCCAAGTATAAATGACTTTTAAATTAACTTGCCGATAATAAGATAAGAATATAGACACGGTACAATAATTGAATTGTGACTATTATACAAACGTGTAATATTATGTTTTGTATGCATGATTCAATTAAATATTTTCCTGAAGAAAAAAATTGGAATGATACTTTCATATAATAATGTGGTGATACAAAATAGACTCTGGGAGTTATGTCAACACACAACTACGCTTATACTTGAATGATATAAGTTTTCCAGAGCTCGGAGTTTATTTATTTTGCTTAGACTATAAGATCTTTTGCTCATATTATAGTGTTGGGTGTTAGTCTTTTAGATTTTACTATAGTTAGATTACTTGTATTGTGAAGTAGTTTCTTGATAAACTTGAAAGGTTTGATGATATTTTGGACAATCTCTTAAATAATTCGTCTTTGTAACTTTAATATGAAAATCAATTTTTCTATTCTCCAGAGCAAGACAAATTTCGAACTACATTGACATTTGCATATGCACTGAATTTTCGCTGCATTTTATCTCGTAAAAAATTAATTTGTCACAAAATAAAATCAACTTATTAATGTTCTAAAACTAATATACCGGTACGTATATTTTCTTTTTTTTGTGGAAAGTTTTTTTTATTACAAATTAATCTATCTTTTTTATAACTTTTGAAAATTTACATTCAATAAATATGTCTTCGTGATCCATCAACCATTCATCAATAAAAGATTTGCTTTTCCAAGAAGTAATTAAACATAGTATTCAAGTGTACTTGCTATGACTACTGAAGCCTCGTAGTTATTGGGGATGACGCATTGCTCTCATATCCTTTGTCAAGATGTAGACACAGAGAATTCTCAAACTGTGTTGTGGAGCGGTAAAGCAAGCTGCAATATCGGTCCTTTTGATATCGTATATTCCAAATTAATTAGCAATTAACAGCAGTGTGATTAAAAATCACTAGTAATACTAGTGTGTATATTTATGTGTGGCATTGTGTTAAAATGTGGATGTTGTAATATATAATGGCATTATTCAATTTTGTAACACCTAGCTAATTAGGAAATATGCTACTAACTTGTCGTACTAATTTGAGGAATATTTCATTAGTATGAGGTAACATTCTATGAGAATTTTTTTAAGTTGCTGATTAAAAATGTGACGTTTATCAAAGATCCTTTCATCAAGGATACCTTTACAGGTTGTTTTTTAAGTTTTAATCATAATACTGTAATAGTTGTGTATATTATAATGAATAAATACATGATCTACCTGCACTTTACGATAGTTTTATTTCGCCAAACGTAATACAAAATATTGTAAACAAACTACTCAGATTACTTCAGGCTTTAATAATTACGGCCTTTTCGAACGAGATATAATGGATCTAAACAATTTTATAACAAATTGTATGGAAAAAACTGGTCAAATTATAGAAGGTGAAGCAATGGAAAATCTGATTCTGGGAGCGAGTGTGGGCAATTCCCTTTCTATTAGGTCAAGCAGTTTTGAGCCAAATTTAAATGTGTAAATTAGAAACTAATCATTCATTACAAGGTGCATCAGCTAACCTCTGTAATTTGAAAACCCAAAATTAACCCCTAAAAAGCACATTAGTTTAAGATTGCATCACTTTAACAACAGCATCGTATTTAATCGTATTTAAGTAATGAATTAAATAGTTATTTGTGTAACTAGTGGTGAAAGTGGCACTTTGCTGCACACGAGAGCAATGTTTATGCACGAGCCGCAGGCGAGTGCGGAATGATCTCGAGTGCAGCAAAGGCCTTTTTCACTCGTGTTACACATTATATTTTTCCTACAGTCACTATAAAGCATATAAATAACTAGTCTTTCAAACACTATACAACACTTTTTTAGGTTCAGCTGGCAACACAAATGGTGCCCTAGAGAAAGTAGTACCCGCGGTCCGTATCACTCCGCTATTTTCCTCGGCAAAAAATGTGCTCCGCGTTTTGAGAATATAGTTCCGTATGTTTTAGTAATTTGAAGTGGTTTCCGTGCCTAAAAAAATGCTTTAAAGGTATTTTCTTGTTTATTAAGATCGTAGGAATGTTTGAAAAACGTTTAAAAGAAAAGTCCAGAAAGTTCAGAAATACCGAAACTATAAACACGAAATGACAGGTTAAATCGTAGTTATAATTGTCAATCAGCTGCTCATAGAGTTATTATCTTTAAGTGTTGCCAACCTATTTCCAAGCGTACACGGATTACGTGCATAATAAAACCACGCTGTTTTGTGTTGTTTGGTTGGAATCCTGATGTGCGGCAAAGTATAAACCGTACGGCAAAGTATAAATATGCAGCAATTAGCAGCTTTCTGTACTATAAACAGTACAGGGAAGCCAACTTTGTCGGGTGACTGTAGGAAAAGTTAATTTTAATCTAAAAAACATATTTTATAACGCTATTGTAAATTGGCTAACACATCATATTTATTTTAATTTATTATATTGCCTTGTTTCGTGTGAAATTTGACTACTAGTTGTCCCATTATATAGTGTAAATTGGTCTTCTAACAATCTACCCAATTTGGAATTTGAAACTAAGCCAATAAGGAAAATATTGGATATTGATTTGTACTGTGTTGCAATATATGCATAAATCTAACATCATTCTTGGTTTCAAAATGAAACTATGTTTACTACAAATAGTTAAGTAATTTATATGATGATTGTATGCATCAATATACTTACTTAATGTACAACCATTTCAGCGATGTAGTGCGAAATTCCATTGTTCTACTTTTCAAAAATAGGTAATTTTAATATTGACTTGGTACAACCACTTTGGA